TTTCTTAACACTGCCTTTTCTATCCAGCCCCCTCCCCTCCCTCTCAGGTGCACCTACGCTCCAGCTCTATCTTTCTCCCCTTACTTCTTCCACCCTCTGTCTCTCTCCACGTCTCCCCTGTCCTCCCCTTATCTCACTAGCGTGTATGTGTGTGTGTGTCTCCCCTCGTCCCTGTTCTCTCCCTGCCTTCCTACTGTCCTCCAGGTACGTTTGCTGTACTGCTCCCAGGAGGAGGCCGAGCTGGTGTTCCGAGCTGCCTGGGCTGCTGGTCAGGCAGGAGCCTCGCACATGTGGTTTGCCGTGGGGCCAGCTCTCTCAGGTTTAGGGATGGAGAACCTGCCGCGGGCTCTGTTCGCCGTGCGGCCTCAGGGCTGGAGGGACGAGCCGCGCCGTAGAATTGCTCGGGGTGTGTCCGTGCTGACTCACGGGGCAGTGGCCATGCGCAAGGATTATGGAACAACGGGTGGGCCAAACTTTGTCACCAACTGCATGACGGATGCCAATCAGACTCAGAGACTGCGGGGCAGGATGAGGTGAGACTGACATCAGGGTAAAAAGGAAAATGTTAAAAAGCAGAATGTGAGAAGGAAAGGAACATAAATATTATGTTGGGAGTAAGTACAAGGCGGTTGGCAGACTCCAGACAGAATATGTGAAAAGGATGAAAAAAGAAATTAACGCCAGAATGAGCTGGCAGATATATGGGTTTAGTTGGTGGATTCAGTGGCAGAGAACAGGGGGATATCTGAATTTGGAGCTGGCTATCATCCATGCAAAATAGATGTTGTTGCATGTAGTTGTGAGTTGGCTAAATTATCCCAGCATCTGTAGCAAGCGGACCATGTCTTATGTATATTAATGAGCTGCAGGCTTTAATATATTCCTTGTAGGCTGTGCAAACAGAGCAGCACACTCTAACAGGTAGCTCAAGTGCTTCTGGTTATCATGGCGGTTCATTTTTAACACCAGTCATTTCTGCTCTGCATACACACATTACATTATATGGAGAGACGACTGGCAGTTTGGTCAAGATCAAAACGAGCTGAGCAGGTATATCGATTTGTTTTTTTGTTTTTTTATGAAACCGAGCACAAACAAGGTGGTGATTAAAGGGAAATGATTAATGGATTCTTCTCTCAGAACACATCTCATTTCCATTTTTTTGCACTGCTACCTGCTGTTCACTGTCTGTAACTACAAGCTGTTGTTCCATCTGAGGTATTTCTGTGATGTAAAAAACTAAAAATCTTTCAGATATTGTGTTTTGAAGCCAGAGAGATGACATGAGGAGGCAATTAGAAGGTCTGTCCTGTGTGATTATCAGACAAACTATAGAGCTCGCAGCTGATTCGGAGTGCTGCAGTTGTTTGACTTCAAAGATCCTGACATTTCCGTACATCTGATCATTTGTCTGTAGATTGGATTTACAGACAAGCCCTGACTGACACCAGAGAGATGTTGTGATGTAGTTTCAGAAGGAAGAAGAACAGGGCAGACTTTCTGTTTGTATCAAAACCAGCGTTCTACTTTTTCCTCATCTTCTCCAGCAATGCATTTAGTTAATTCATTTATATTATGTGTTTTCTGTCATTTACTTACAGCTTTCTCTTTTGCTTCCGCCTGTTTCCATGCAGGTATTTCAGCAACATCACACTTGGCGGTCGAGACTACTCCTTCAACGTTGATGGTTACCTGTCGAACCCTTTCCTGGATGTCATTTCCTGGACACCTGGACGGGGATGGGAAGATGTAAGGACATAACATCAGTTCTCTGAATCTGTGCTCGTGATCGGCTTGATTGCATGTTATTTTGTTGTCTCCATTAACTGTTTGACTCTTGACACTTGTAAGATGCTGCGGGAAACAAGCGAGGACTGAAAGCACCAAGCAATTGAACCCGAACACAGTTTTTATGCTGATTCGAGCAATGTTCTTGGGTCTTAATCTCTCCATGCGAGCTGGGGGAGCAGATCCTTGCTGCATTGGCAACAAGAATATTTAAATCTGACAGCGTGGATAGGCAGGTCACATGGGTTTTATGATCATGTAAAGTTCACTGTGGCTATTGGTGCCTGAGGCAGAGGAGAGGAGCTGGCTGCTGACCATTTGACCGTGCTTTGTGTGCTCCTACTGTGCTTCTTCAGTTTCTGCTGCTCCTCTGCTGTTACTCAGTTAAAGCACACTCACTCAATACCAAACACACACACACACACATTTCCATCTAAAAAGATTTGCAGCTTTTTTTTGGTTCATAACTTATTAAAATCAAAAACGCTGGGGCTGTTGAATGTTGATCTGACAAAACAAGCAATGTGCACGTTGCCATAGGCTGCAGGAATTGTGATGGATCCCTTGATCAATATAAAATTACAGACAATTAACAGATAGATTCAAAGTCAGTCTGATATCAGTCTGTCCAGATGCACCTCAAAGGAAACTGATGGCAGCAATCTTATCTCCCAACATGAAGGGCAGAATCCACAGCCCTAGTTTTTGGCAAAAAAGGAAAAAGTTGATCTGAATCTAATATGAGATTTTAACAGTCATATCCAACTCAAGTGTTTTTGTTCCAAAGTAACTTTATTTTCTGTGAAATTCCCTCTTTGTGTTTCCCTGGACAGCATTTCCTTGCTGAGATGCAGCAGAGGGAGAGTAACACAGAGAACCTTAAAACCCACTTGATTTGACTAACTCACACTGTGATGTGGGTTGAGGCGGATTGTTGGATTGTATTTCACCACAGAACAAGGACTGTCTTCTATCACCTCTTGGCCAGTAATGAATAGAAATGAAAATAATCATTAGCTGCAGCAACAGCCTCGTAGTCATACACTTCTACTCATGCATTTAATTCTTCCTCATTTTTTTAGAAAACAGTGTTTTGTTTTTGTTCTAATCAGGAGTTGCTGATTTCTTCCCGTTTCTCGCCTGGGTTGCCTTCGTCTTTGCTGTAAAATGAAACACAAATTTAAATAGAGATCTGGGTGTCATTACAATTTGGTTGTAGCCTCACCATTGTTTTTTGTGTTCGAGTGTCTTGTCTGCACAACTGTGTGAGCAGCTACAAAGAACCAGCACCCCTGGCATGTCATGCATATTCTATAAAGCCGTGGTTTGTTCAGAAATCCTCAAAACGAAGCCTTGTCACCTGTTGTAGATGCTTTCCCTTTAATTCAGCGGGATTTTACCCTCGTCAGAGTCAGAAGAGAGAGCGTGATGCTCATTTTCATCAACACCACACAGTTCATGTGCACAGACACACAGCGCTCTCAGAACATCCGCTCCGCAACTGCACATTATCACAAACATGGCACAAATACAAATACCAATGCCTCCACACAAGCTTCTACACACACACACACGCGCACACACGCGCACACACACACACACAGACACACACACACACACACACACACATTGGTGGTTCTCAGCCTCCTGCTGGTTTTAACAGCCCACCAGAGTCCAGTCTCAGCGTGTTGTAACATGCTGACTCCTGCCATATCCCTCAAATCCCTTTCAATTAGAAGGTCCTACGCTTGTCCTTCGACTCTGTGCAAACCCAGGGTAGAAAACCCGCCCACATACACTCACTTGCTCAGAGCTTCCACACAGACACCCATATGTGTCTACATGCTTCTTGCATAAACCCTATTCCACAGGCATGTACACCCACCCACAATGAGGAGAACATGCCTATATCTGCCTATTATGCACATCCATGCTGTTGGCTCTCCCTGAATATTTAATGTTCTCTGTTCAAGACTGCACCATTACCTAGAGCCCGGGAGCACATACCCATCTTGCTTTACTGGAACACTGCAGTCAAAGTGTTGAAGGTTGTCCTGCATTAGTATGGCTCGTTCCTGCACACAGAGCTAGATGTTCCAGGATACTATCAGAAGTCAATGAACATTTATTAGCATCATCGACAGCTGCTAAAGGATATTGTTTTAGGTCTAAGTGGTTCCCAGTCCTCACACTTGTGTCCTAAGATATTCTAAGAACTTGTGAAGTGGGAAGTGGCAGACGTTTTTTTTTTTTTTGTGTGTGCGCACTTTTCTGGTTGTCTGTTTGATACAAGCTGCTTTCAGGTATGCACTGAACAGTTCCCTGATATTTTCCGGAGGAGCTGTTGGTAAGAAGGCATGGAAGTCATTTGCTTTTGACATTTTCTGGAGCTGCCAGCCCCTTAGTAAAATCTCTGGAATATGTCAGAATGAGGCCAAGTGAGAATGCTGCAGGTAAATGTCCGAAAAATTCACAGAGAGCGTGCAGGTGTATCACTTATGTATAACCTGATGTATCTCAGGGAAAGAGGTGTCATATAAGTAGAATACACCAGCAAAGATGTCAACTTGAAAAGAAAAAAAGAGATTCTAGAGCTTTTGGTGATAAGGGCAGACGGGTGTCAATGTGCTTTAAACAAAAACACAGTATTTATACGTCACTTCCTGCCTCTGGCCTTTTCCTGTTGTTGTGAACATGTTTAATTCAGACAATCTCCTGCTGTGCTTTTCATACTGTATATGAATATGTCTGAAAAAGGCTAGAGAGTAGAGTGATCTTCCATAATGCTCTCTGTTTGCTGTGTTCTCGAGTGAGTTTTGATTGAATGTGTGTTGTGGAGCTGTGGTCGGAGCTGTGGTCAGAGCTGTGGTCTCTACCGGCACTTAGAAGTTGCAGGAAGTTGCCAAACTTAATTTACTATGTGTGTCTAAGTTTACTGTATATCTACCTGTATTTCTGAGTAGGTGTGCATGAGTACACAGTATGTATGCACACTTTCTTTTTGCGTATACCACCTCAGTTGTGCTGTCACGACTGTTAGACGTGACTTTTATCAGGCAATCGTGCCAAGATGTGTCAAGTTCCACAAAAACTTCCTAGGTTGTGTACCTGCCTTGTGCTGCTTTCAAAAGTCTGAATATCCCAGGCACAAACACCCAACACATCCAGAGTGCACATAAACAATGCAAAGAAACTGGGAAAACAATGCTGCAGCCAAAGGGAGGTTTGATGGACATTTTCAGGTCAACAGTGGACACAGGACACTGAGGTCTCACACCATCATCCAAGGACAGGTTTTAAAAATCAAACTGAAGTGACATCTCTTGCAATATGTCTACATTGTGTTTGTTTTTACAAAGTGCAAATGGCTCTAAAAATGGATTTGGACCAGTGTGTTGGAAAAAAATCTTCTGTCACCACAAATCCCCAAGTGTGCATCTGTGAGCTACTCGCTCTCATACTGCTCAAAGCTGATATACTATATGTATAGTGGAGTTATTTAATTTGATGTATAAATTGACACTTAAGTAAACGATTGGTAGGAACGTATGTGGATAAGCACTGCAGCCTCATTAATCAGTGAAGCCTTTTTACATGCACATATTTGTCAGGTAATTTCTCCCATTACACATACGTAACAATGAATGTTAGGGCTCTTAAATAGAGTGAGTGAGCACACTGCCCTGCAAAAGTACCTGCACAATTTTAATAGTAACATTAATCCTGATTTTATATCTTCACTGTGTATTTGAAATTATGTGAAATACAAAATTTAAAGCAAATATTAAATTAGACACTGTATTTGAGGCTTTAAGAAAACTGTTAATCTCCTGTTTTTAGCTGATTTGGCAGCACCATCACTAT